AAAAAAAAAAAAAAAAAATTTCTTTTTAGGCCGGGCATGGTGGCTAATGCCTGTAATCCCAGCACTTTGGGAGGCCAAAGCAGATGGATCACCTAAGGTCAGGAGTTCAAGACCAGCCTGGCCAACATGGTGAAACCCCATCTCTACTAAAAATACAAAAATTAGCCAGGTGTGGTGGCAGGCACCTGTAGTCCCAGCTGCTTGGGAGGCTAAAGCAGGAGAATCACTTGAACCCGGGAGGTGAAAGTTGCAGCGAGCCAAGATCACACCACTGAACTGCAGCCTGGAGGACCCAGTGAGACTCCATCTCAAAAAAAAAGTTTTTTTAATATCTATTATGTTTTTGGCACTTCATTAAATGCATATTTGATACAAGAATTTTTAACTCTCATTAACAAGCTCTAATGAATGCCTAAAATTGTAAGTATTATGCTAGGCATGAAAACATTTTTCCTATTCAACAAGGTTGTGATTGCTTGGGTGAGAAGGTGTACTAGTCAAAGGTAAATAGCAGTTTAAGTATTTATTAATATATGTTATTAACATAGAGGAGGAAAGATCACTGGCGATTATATCAATCAGGAAGGTTTCTTGGAGAAGAGGGAATGCAAAGAGGATTTTGAAAGAATGGGAGGGTACAGACAAGGCAAGGGAGACATGGTAGTCAGAGGCAAAGACATAGCAGTACCAAGTGAACAAATTTCACTTGGTAAGAGTAGGTAAGGTGGTACAGATGAATAGTAGCTGTATTAGTTCTTTTTTCATGCTGCTGATAAAGTCATACCCAAGACAGGGCAATTTACAAAAGAAAGACTTTAATGAACTTACAGTTCCATGTGGCTGGGGAGGGCTCACCATCATGGCGAAAGGCAAGAACGAGCAAGTCACATCTCACGTGGATGGCAACAGGCAGAAAGAGAGCTTGTGCAGGGAAACTCTCATTTTTAAAACCATCAGATCGGCTAGGTGTGGTGGCTCACACCTGTAATCCTAGCACTTTGGGAGGCCGAGACAGGTGGATTACCTGTGAGGTCAGTAGTTCAAGATCAGCTTGGCCAACATGGCAAAATCCAGTCTCTGCTAAAAATACAAAAATTAACTGGGTGTGGTGGCATGCACCAGTAATCCCAACTACTCGGGAGGCTGAGGCAGGAGAATTGTTTGAACCTGGGAGGCGGAGGTTGCAGTGAGCCAAGATTGTGCCACTGTACTCTAGCCTGGGTGACAAAAGCAAAACTCTATCTCAAAAAAAAAAAAAAAAAATCAGATCTTAGCTGGATATAGTGGCTCACGCCTGTAATCCCAGCACTTTGGGAGGCCAATGTCAGGAGTTTGAGACCATACTGTCCAACATGATGAAACACCATCTCTACTAAAAATACAAAAAATTAGCTGGGAGTGGTGGCATGTACCTGTAATCCCAGCTACTTGGGAGGCTGAGGCAAGAGAATCACTTGAACCTGGGAGGCTGAGATTGCAGGGAGCCAAGACCGTGCCACCGCATTCCAGGCTGTCTGGGTGACAGAGCAACAATTCATCTCAAAAATTAATAAATAAAACCATCAGATCTCATGAGACTTATTTGCTGTCATGAGAACAGCATGGGAAAGACCCACCCCTATGATTCAGTTATCTCTACCAGGTCCCTCCCATAATACATGGGAATTATGGGAGATATAAGATGAGATTTGGGTAGGGACACAGAGCCAAACTATATCAGTAGCCATACAATAGAGCATCCTGAAAGTCAGACTAAGGTTTTATTTAACCTTTTTTGAAAAATTATTTTGCAAAATGGTAAGCAAAAAAATTAATTTAAAAAAAATCTGGCCGGCCTCAATAGCTCACAGCCAGAATCCCAACACTTTAGGAGGCTGAGGCAGAAGGATTGCTTGAGGCCAGGAGTTCAAGACCAGCCTAGGAAATATAATGAGACCCCATCTCTACAAACAATTTAAAAGATAGTTGAGCATGCTGGCACACACCTATAGTCCCAGCTACTCATGAACCTGAGGCGGGAGGATTGTTTAAGCCCAGGATTTTGAGGCTGCAGTGAGTTATGCCTGGGCACTCCAGCATGGGGTACAGTACAAGACCCTGTCTCTGAAAAAAAATTAAAAGCAGTAGGCAGTTGGCTTTTGATCACTCTTTGTGTTAGAAAAACTGATATGAGCACATTGTATGGGATGCTTTGTAGAAAATGGAACAGTTAGAAGACCTTTGAAATAGTTTAGAAATTAAAAGATAGAATATGCTAACTTGGCTAACAAAAACTTTTTCAAAAGAAAAAGTGGGCCAGGCACAGTGGCTCAGACTTGTAATCCCAGCACTTTGGGAGGCCAAAGCAGGCGGATCACGAGGTCAAGAGATCGAGGCTATACTAGCTAACACGGTGAAACCACTTCTCTTCTAAAAATACAAAAATTAGCCAGGTGTGATGTGGTGGCACGTGCCTGTAGTCCCAGCTACTTGAGAGGCTGAGGCAGGAGAATTGCTTGTACCCAGGAGGTGGAGGTTGCAGTGAGGCGAGATTGTGCCACTGTGCTCCAGCCACCTGAGTAACAGAGCAAGACTCTGTCTCAAAAAAAAAAAAAGAAAAAGAAAAAAAGAAGGTAGGAGTTCACAGTATGTCGGGAAGAAGTTGTTGTCAAACCTGTCTTAGAGTGATTAGTTCACATAATGGGAGTATTGCCAAAAAGGACCTCTAATTAGAATGAGCTTGAAAATGACCATGGAGTTTTAAAGTTAACAAGGACCTTAGAGAACAAATAGACTCAACTTCCAGATACAAATTTGTGCGTACACATACATATGTTTGTCATATATGGTTGGAGTCTCTACCTTTCATTAAATCAGGGGTTGGCAAATGACAGCCTAAAGACCAAATTTGGTCCATTGCCTGTTTTTATAGGCTTTTGAACTAAGAATGGTTTTCACCTTTTCAAATGATTGAAAAGAAAAGAGTATTTAGAATATTTAGTGACATGAAAATTATATGAAATTCCAATTTTAGGCCAGGTGCGGTGGCTCACACCTGTAATCCCTGTGCTTTGGGAGCCAAGGCAGGAAGATTGCTTCAGGATAAGAGTTCGAGACCAGCCTATACAAAACAGCAAAGCCCCGCCTCTACAAACAAAAAAAAAGAAATTCAAATGTCAGTGTCTATTAATAAAGTTTTATTGACACACAGCCATACTCATTTGTTTATGTATTATCTCTGACTGATTTCCAGCTACTACAACAGAGTTGTATAGTTGCAAGAGAGGTTAT